AACCTGCATCCCCACGAGTCAGTACCTGCCTGGCTAAGGTGGATACAGTGCATCTGAGCAAAGTTCCTGGAATTCCTGGCTTCCTTCTGGCTCTGGATCATCCTGTGCCCACCCACAGTTCCATGGAACCCCTGTCAGATGAAATTAATTGCTCCCTCAGTAGTCACTGAGCACTTCCTGTGTTCTGGGCACTGTGCTAGGTGCCAGGGACACGGAGGTCATCCAGGCATCCATACTCGCAGTTTCCACCCTCCCGTCTCCGTCATCTGCCAGTCACTCACGCAGACACAGATCATCCTCACTCCTTTCATTTCTCACTTTCTGCCGTGGACTTGTCTCTCCCTCAAACCCACCCAGCACGCTCCTGCACGGGGCCTTTGCCCTATCCACTCCCTCCTCCTAGAATCACCACCATCACCACGGCTGCTGCCCTGGCTGGGTGGCTTCCCGTGTCTCTCTTCCCTGTAGCTACTGAGACTAAATATGAAGTCTCGCCTGTACAGCTACCTGTGGTCCCTCCCTGCTGTCATCTAACAGGTTGTCCATTGTCACTGTATCTCACATCTAGCAGCAAAGTTCCGTGAGCTCACCACAGTAACCCCAGGGCCAAAACCTGGTACACAAGGGACTTTGAGTAAACACTAGAACCAGTGAGTGTGGCCTCCCCCTGTAGTCACTGCTGGCTTCATTCAGCCCCATGCCTCAATCTGCCACACTCACCTGATGCAGCTCCATCCTGAGCCCACCTACACCTTCCCCAAAGGATAAAAGTTGTCACTTCCCTCCTTAAAGTCCTCCTGTCGGGAGCCCTGTCAGATCAGGCAGTTCACTGCCTTTCCACCCCCTTTATTTTTCTGAGTCTTGGTTGGCATCGGTAAAGTGGAAATTTGTTTTGAGGATCCAGTGCCGATTGGGCAGGTGTAGCATCCAGGGCAGGACATCACCTGGCCTCCTTCACAAGGCCAGCCACACTCAAAGCCCTTCCCTGTCCCTCCAGGCTGGTGGCTCCCTGGTCCTTCCCACCACACAGGTCTGCACTCAGGGATCCCGGGCACTGCACTTCAGGAGAACCAAGTGCTCCCCCTCCGCACGCTCCCTCTTCGCGTGTCTGAGTGTCACGGTGCACCCAGAGTGGAGGTATTCCTGGAGCAGGGACTGAAGGGGAGTACAAATGACGTGAACCTGCCACACACCATTCAGCCACTTCAAAGCCTGGAGTGCCGCCCGCCCACCCTGTGTTCCCAGCCAGACAATCCAGTTGGAGATGAGTCACCATCAGGAACAGGCTTCAGGTGCTGGGCTCAGAGAGAGGCAGGCAGGGGAGCAGTGACCTCGGGTGTTTGCCCACGCTCAGCCCAGCCGCTCAGTGGACCCAGCCCCGCCCCAGCCAGCCCCTGTCTCATCCCTGTGTGCCCCACCTGCCCACTGCCCTCCTCACTCCATCTTCACCACAGCTCCGGACTCATGGAGAGAAACCAGGGTGCACACTGGCTTACGTGAACGCCCAGAGCCAGCTCCTTTGCCTTGGAGACTCCAACAGGTTCCACCCAAGCAACAGGTCTGACGTCACCAGGAAGTGGCTTTTCTGTGGTCAAGATGAAATCCTCAAATGGGGGAGGGAAGGAGGAAGTACATAGTAAGGTTGGATCCGCAAAGCCCATTTTGTTTTTGAGGCATTTTGTGAGACACATTATGGGCAGTTGGTAAACAAATCAGTGCATATGAGCTGGGGTGGGTTGCCGGGAGACTGCAGCCAGAGGGCATGTGTTAAATGCTGATTGTGTTGCAGGATGCAGGGAATTGTGGCCCAGGCTGAGATGGGCATTGTTGTCATCAGGGTAACAAGGCGTCTAGGTAGAATCTCAGGGCTTCCTTCTCAAGTTGAGCATCGTTCAAAGGCAGCCCATCATGGTATACTAGCATCCGGCCATGGTTGGCTTATTTCATGTTTCCTCATACTTCTGAAAGTTCCCTCAGTGCCAGGCCCAGAGCAGTTTGCAGAGCCACGCTGACCCTCCATGCTCCCAAAGAACTGCTTGTCTAAAATAATTCAGGACAGAGCTAGCCTGGAAGGATGTGCTTGTGCTGCAGAAGCCCAGCCAACGTGACCCTTGTGTCTGCACCAGTCAGGGATTTCTTATGAGGAAATCTCTTGAGCTCGCTGTTCACAGCTACAGAGGGGTTTTCCAGGTAGAGGGGAAAGGAATGACATGCCAGGGGGAATGGACAGCAACCTGGAAGAATAAGGCACCCATTGTGTCCGGCCAGGATGCCAGGGCAGCAGTCTCTGTGCAGTGTTCCTGGCAGTAACCGAGGGCAACTAGGGTTGACAAGAGTCTTTCCCCACAGCTCTTCATCCCTTCACCATGACCTTGGGCAGGTAGCCTCAGTGTTTCCATCTGTAAAATGGAAATGATATTTCCTACCCCAAAGGGTCTGCTACAGTAACACACTGGTGACATAACCTGACCTGTGAGCCACATTTGAAGGACCAAATGTCAGAGGCCTCCACATATGGGAATGCCTGCCCCTTGCCAGCCTCCTGAGCCACTTAGGAACTTAACACATTGTCCTTCAGACTCTCAGAGTGATGACTGAAAGCCATATGTCCGGCAGTCTGAGGGCTCCCCTGCCCTGGAAGGCCTGTCCACCTCCTCCCTACACCGTCAGAAGCCCCAACCTTCACTTCATAGACACAGGGCCCAGTGAGAGGCGAGGGGGACTCATGGGGCTCTCTGGGAGAGGCAGGACCCAGAGGACAATCTTTCCATGGCATTAGATGTCACCACAAGCAGCGGTAGAGGAAGTGCAGTCACCATGCGTTTGTTAAACACCTGTACTGTGCTGGTTCTGCAGGGAAGTAGGAAGAGCTCTAGGGCTGTGGAGGCTGTGGACACTGGGGAGCTATGGAAGGCTTTGTAAGGGAGTGACATGATCCATTCTGACTTTAAGAGAGGTCATTGTGAAAACAGCAAGAAGGATGAATTGTGAGCCCACTTACAGCCCCATCCTGTCCCTGGACACACGTGTGTACATGTACACACAACCACAGTATGCTTAGGCATACCCACCAATGTGAATGCAGACACAAGTGCCCACGTGTATTTTTAGAAAGTGAGGATCACAAGCCTCAAGATTCTTCTTGAATTTTCTGTTGTGAAATCACAGTTCTCTGAGCAGCCATCCCTGGCAAGCTGGGGAGATCACCTCCCACCCACACTTCCCCAGGTCAGAGCTCGTCCCTTCGTCTCCATGGAGACTGAGTGGGTGTCAGGCCAGCCCTGGCTTCAACAGTGGGAAGGCTGAGCAGTGTCAGGAAGGGGCTGTAAGGAGCCACCCGGTGAGAGGGATTCCAGGTCAGTGGCATCCCCTGGCCCCTGACAGAATGGACATCCATGTGGCTAAGGGGCTTTCCATGCAGACCCCTTCCTCTGGAAGCAACTCGGCAGCTCCTGTTCCATCTGTCCCTGTTGGGACCTGAGGCTCAGAGAGGTAAAATGCTTCATCCAGAGTCACATTGAAGCAGCTGAGTTGATATTAGAACCAGGGATCAGACTTGGGAGCAAGACTCCCCAAAGAGAGATCTCTGGTTCGTTTGTTAAATAGAAGAACAAACTCACTAACACAGTGTGTTAGGCCCATGAGCTCCATAAAAACATGGGACCCCCCTATGAGGGAAAAATAGATAATAAAAGAGGTCCCTTGGGAGGTGGTGGGACCTCTGGACCTGCCTCTTCAGGAGGAGTCCTATCCACAATGATGTCACCCCAGGATCTAGAGGGGCCAGGCCACTTCTTGCTGCTTTCCCCTGCAAGTGTCGCCTGCTCAGTAGCCACCAGACCTGTAGCCAAGTGACCCCACTCCCGTTCTCCCTCCTGTTCCCAAAGCCTCCTCACTTGAAGACACAACAGGAGAGACTGAGCTGGTTCCGACCTTTAGCAGCGTGGTAGGGTGGGTTGTTTCTTGAAAATGTTCCCTCCACTATAAATTGCTGCTAAAATGGCTGGGCCCTCGTTACTGTCCTAGACATGCAGGCATCACACAGAGTCCAAGCAGAGAAAGAAGAGGGGGGAAAAGAGGCATTTTCCTTCCATAGTCCAGTGTTTCTAGAACAGTAATTTAATGTATCACATGCCTTCTAAAGGAGTGTGCTGGGTGACCATGTGGGTTTTGGAATCAAACAGGCTCAGGCTGCAGTCTCAGCCTGTATTTGGAAGCTGTGTGACCTTTGGCAAGCTGAATGACCTCTTTGAGACTCACTTCCTTATTTATAAAAATGAGGAGGAAGCGGGTCGTGGTGGTACCACACCTGTAATCCCAGCACTCTGGGAGGCTGAGGCAATTTAGCAACTTAGTAAGACCCTGTCTCAAAATTAAAATCTTAAAAAAGAGCTAGGGATGTAGCTCAGTGTGAAGGTCCTGGGCTCAATCCCCACACACAGAGGAGGAAAAGAGCACCTTCCTCTTGAAGTTATTAGAGTAATGATATGGCTTGAGTTAGATGCCGGTGTACAGCCTTGCAAAGCCAGCTGTGAGACCTTGAACTAGCCCCTTTCCACTCCAGGTCTCAGATTTCTCACCATGAAATGAGGACACTGTGCTCACCTTAAAGGGTCATTCCAACCCAACAAGCTGCCAGAGCTACCCTGGGCCCCTGAAGGTGTCCAAACAGTAGGATATCACAGGTCCATGAGGCAGGCGCACCCTATGGGACCTCCAGTTTCCACTCCAGGCCACTCAGATGTTCCTCTCCTGCTCCAACACTGGGACCCCAGCACCCACTGCCCCCCCATGCACCCCCACACGAGGTCCCAGATGGCTCACCTGCTACCAAAGTCACTGACCTCACCCCCAGATGTTGGCAGCTCAAAGGATGCACAAGCCCAGCCTGCAGGACTGGTGAGTTCCATGTGGGTGCCCCCATCTCTGGCCTGTTTGTGTCTCCACAGGTGAGTGGAGAGGCCTTCCCTGCGGCGGTGAGAAGTCAGCGCTGTGCCTGTGGGCAGGCTGGCTCCGCTCTTCTGCTCCAAGGATTACATGTCCTTCAAACGCCCTTGCCCCTGTAAGTCTCCCCCACACCCTCCCACTGCTGAGGGCCAGCCATGGCAGAGCTGGGAGCTGGGTTGCAGATGTTTGGCCAAGGAACTGCAAGGGTCTGGCTGGGGACATGATGGGGGTGGGGGAAACCCAACATCTCTGCGATGCTCTCTGAAAACTGAAAATCCCACCTTGGTCATTCCAGATCAGGGCTTGTCGGGGGCATATTAATGGGATTAAACACGCGCACGCACACACACGCACACCGTGGCCAAATAAGTGTTAGAAGGGCTGGATGAGGCTCACTGAGAAGGCTTTGCTACCTCAGGACTTTTCAGAGCCTTTAATGTCGTGATGTACATTGTGAGCCTTCCCTGGGAGACAGAAAACCTGCTGCTTTTCCCAAATTTAACATGTGCCACAGGGATGTATTTTACTCACATGGGACTTTGCAGGAACTATTCTCTGGAGCTGACTGTCCTGAGGAGATCTGGCCTGGAGCCTCCATCAGAAAGCCCTGCAGAAAATGAAGCCATTAGATGATTTTTGCCCATAGGAGTCTCCTTATGGCTTCAGCTGGGTGTGCCCTTCGGGCCAGTGAGCAGCCCTTCCCAAGTCTCCACCAGCTCTGCTCCTGCCAGCTCCTGCTGCCTTAGATTCTGTGGGAGCTGCCTGCTTTCTCCTACTTCATCTCCTGACTCTCAACACCACCAGCACCTCTTATATTCAGGGTGACGTGCATAACTGCCTATGACTTCCCCTTGATAAGTCAGGATTGTGCATGTGGTGTGTGTGTGTGTCTGTGTCTGTGTGTGTGGTGTGTGATGAGGGACACCTTCCATAATCCCTGGATAATACCCTGTCCCTCTCACTAATGTCTGTTCAGATTTTCAACACTGATTACCTGTCATGCCTCTTGGGGTGGGGGCAACTCTTCAAGTAGTCAAAGCCCCAGTTAAACCTCTAAACACCAGGAGTTTGGTGCAGTGGAGGTGGGGAAACTGGTGTGTCCCATGTGGATGGTATCCTCACGACTCATGCTGGGGGATGTGGGAATAGGCTGGCTGTGGGGTTCACTATCCAGAGTGTGTCAGAGTGCAAGGGAGTCAGCCTGTAATCCCACCACTCAAGAGACTGAGCCAGGAATATCACAAGTTCAGAGCTAAACTGGGCTACGTAGTTCAAGGCCAAGCTGGACTACATAGCAAGGCCCTGTAATGGGGTGGGGGCTAAGATGGGTACCCAAGGAGGGTGTGGATTAAGAGCTGATGAAATGATTTCTGATGAATGGTACAAGCTCAATAAGTTGTTGTCACTGTCATCACTGTTACTGTGGCATAATCAGGAAATGAAAGCCCAAGTCCCGAGCCAGGGGAGAAGACTGCTGCTCAGGGGCGTGCCTGCCCCATGGTGGGCTGCCATGGTCACTTTCTTGCCCCTCCCTGCTGGTGATAGGCGAAGCTATGAGTGGAGAAATCTAGAAAAGGTCAAGGCTGGGAATGTTGAGTGTGGAAAGCTTTCTAGAACCTTCTGGGGTTGCTCTCTGGCCCTTGAGAGCCTGGTCCTTCTATACTAATTGAAACCATTGTTCAGACTTATCCCCCCATCTGAGCCCCCTTTGCGGATCCATTCTAGAAATCACTCACTTATTAAGCAGCCCTGTGCTTGCTTGCCTGAAAAGATGAACTTCTAGAAAGCAGGGACAGTGTCTGCCGTTCCCTGGTGCATCCCAGCATCGTGCTCAGGGCCTGGCATGGAGTGGATGCTTAGTAAATGGTTGAGCAAATAGGTGAATGAGGAGATGAAACAGGTGCCTGGTGGGCAGCCTCCCCAGCTTACAGCCCAGAGACCCACACACAGGTTCTGATAGGGATACAGGACTACAGATGCTCTGGACCCCTGGACACACCAAACATAAAAGTGCTCAAGGAGAAAACCCAGAAGTTCCAGGAAACATCCTAACAATCAGGACCACACCTCACCAGCTCCTTTCTAGACCTGAAGCTGCTCTGTGAATTGAGAAGCCATGGGCAGCTTCCCTGACGCTCCTTTTCACAAAACACTCTTGCCAGATCCTGTAAAGATATTGAAGCCCATAAAAGCTGCATAACTTATGTTGGTAGCCAGTTTGTTCCTGTGGTTGGGTTTCCACACTACTAACTCTTGCCATTTTAGAAGGACTGGACAAGTCTCCAAAAGGAAATGCAAACCCAGAAACTCCCCAAGCAAGACCTTTCTCCTAGGAGTGAGAGCTCACAAGGTCCAGAAAGAGTAAACAGGTCGTATCTGCCGGCTGCAGAGGGGAGGGTTGCACAGTGAGCAGGGCCAACCCAGCTGCAGCACAGATCCCCTAGCTCCTGCAAACTCTGAGGATGTAGGGTCATCCATTGGCCTCTCAGTGAAACAGACATTAGTCAAGCTGGGCTCGGCCCTGCATCCCCCAACCACAACCCTATCTTTCCACCAAGTATTCCAGCTTGTGTGTGCTCCTCACAGAGATTCCTGGCCCCCCTGGGCAGATAGAAGACGAAGCAGAGGAAGGAGGCAAGAATAAGAACAGGGAAGGAAACCAGAGACTTTGGGGCCAAGTGGCTGCAGGAGGAATTGGGATCTCTTCCTGCTAGTGCCAGGCCTGCGAGCCATTTTCCAGCCTCAAGAGCAAGAAGACAAACATGCTTGGTTCCTCAGGAAGAATAGAGGTGGGGGAATCTTCTCCTTCAGGCCCCCAGCTAGACAGGGTGGCCCAGGGCTCTGTGGGGACCCAGGCTGCAAGAATAGATGCTTCATAACCTCTTCCTCATTACTTGGCAGATGGCAGCTCCATGGGGCTCCCCGTGAGGCTGGGGCAGCCTGCTTCCCTCGGGTCTCTGAGGACAGATCTAGGAAAAGAGGGGCTTTAACACCACAGGGGAGACTGAGCCTGTGGCAAAGCAAAATGAAAAAGAAGGTAGCATCCAATAATCATGAAGTCAAATGGGGCTTGTCTCTACCAGGCTCATGGTGGCTGCCCACAGGCTGGCAGAACTCACAGCCTGGCAGGGTCCCTGGGTACCCTCAGTCAGTGTGATGTAGTGAGAAGCACTGAGACTCAAGTACAACCTGATGCTGACACTTCCCAGCTGTGTGATCTGGAGCAATCTGCCGAACCTCCAGAGACCTGAACGAACTTGTCTGTACAATGGATACAGTAATGCCACCCTGGTGGTTTGATGCTCAGATCCTAGATGCCAGCGGGGAGAGTCTAGCCTGATGTCAGGCTCTGAGAAGAGGCTCAAGAAACTTGAAAGTCTTGTCTTTTGGCCACCTTTTCTCTGCACAGCTTAGTATCATCCAGGTCTTTAGTGATGGAGAAGAAAAACAGGAGGAGGGGCTCTGGATTTGAATTTAGGACTTGGACCATATGTTTCCATCATTGTATCAAAATCCCTGTGATAATCAGATGGAAAGGTTTATTCTGACTCATAGTTTCAGGGGCTTCAGTCCATGGTCATGTAGCCCCATTGATTAGGGCTCTGGTGAGACAGAACATCCTGGGAGGGAGCATGTGGTATGGGAATCCACATATATAGTGAAAGAGAACAAGCAACCGGAGTCCCAGTATCCTCTTCAAGGGCATGCCTCCAGTGACCCAACTCCCTCCCACGAGACCCATCTCCTAATATTAACACCACCTTCTAAAAGTTCCACCACCTCCCATCAGTGCCCTGAGCCAGGGACCAAGTCTTCAACACATGGGCCTTTTCAGATCCAAACTATACCAAGCTAGATGCTATTGTCTGCTGTGCTCTTTGTGACAGTTACCTCTGCAGAGAATGAACTGTCAACAAGACTCAAGGACAATCACCACTTCTGTGCCCAGAGCAGGCATTACTAATCAGTCGCAGAACAGTTTCCCCCAGTGAGTCTGAAGGCAACCTCAGACTCTCTCCAAACACATACAGAAACTCCCCAAAGATCACTGTATCATGAAAACTTCATCCATCCACTGCCGAGGTGGGAGTTTGGAGTGGGCAGGGGAATAGATGGATTGAATTCCACTGGTCATTTCTCCCACAGCCTCAGGCTCCTCACTTGTAAAATGGGAGTTGATAAGAATACCCACCTCTGAGGATCGCTGTGAGCATCAAATGAGATGTGAGGGGATAAATACTCAAAGCCTTGCAAGGGAGAGTGCCCATTCTGCACACAAGGAAATTGAGGCTCGGGAAGATGAAGAAATTAGTCCGGGAGATACAGTAAGGCCGAGGCAACACCCTGAGTGAATCAGTCCAGGGCTTGATTTTAGCTAAACTACAGCTGGACCAAAAGAACAAGGGTCGAGGCCTGGAGATTTAGCTCAGTAGTTCCACTGCCTGCTTGGTAAGCACAAGATCCCAAGTTCAATCCCTGTACCAAAAAAAAAAAAAAAAAAAAAAAAAAAAAAAAAAAAAAAAAA